TATGATTCCACTTGTATAAACTTTAAAAGCATTCAAAACGAAATAATAAATGCTTAAAATTCATATGTGTGCGGTAAAAACGATACGGAAAAGCAATGGAATCATCAACACAAAATTCAGAAGAGTGGTTTTGTGGGGAGCGGGGCAGGAGGCCCTGGAGCAGAGGCACAAAGGGAACACATAAGGTATTAGGTAATGTTCTAATTGCCAGCCTGAATGCTGGGCACATCATTCTTTGGTATACGTTTTATATAGTCAGTTATGTATGATAACACAGTAAAAGCAACACACACACAGAGAACTGAGGACACAAAAATGGTCCATTATCTGTAATACCGTAATAGGGAGGAACACGTCTGACTCCATGTTGGAGCTGTTTCTTTTACTTCAACCTTTGTATTCTATGGCTTTTGCTACAATTTAAGAGTGTTGCCTATAGCCTGAAATATACATGATAGCCCATTCTCAAGGCTCCGATCTTTCCTGTTCATATAGAGATCAAGAAGTTGTAGAACAGAGAACAACATTTGTCTTGTTGGAGGTTTATACTGTGACCAGACCTACGTGGTCAGCTGCAAGAACAAAGGATTCTAGCACCAAGAAGTTTGCTGCAACCAACCACCCATTTTAGTATAAAAGAACCCTGAATTCTAACTCATAGAAGCTGGCTCTTTGGGACACTAGTCTACCATCTTCTTGGTCTGCTGGCTTTCCAAATAACGTTCCTTGCTCCAACAATTTGTCTCTCAATTTATTGGTCTGTTATGTGGTGAGCAGTACAAACCTGGAGTTGGTAACAATATCTGGTGTGTTATAATAGTGGCCATGGCAGCTTTAATGGGTACTGGCAGGTCAGACAATTAGAGAAGAAAAGGACATATTAAGTTAATGATTTATTTTCTTAAGATACAATTTTTAATTAAAGGTTTTTAATGTAGGCCTTTTAAAAAGAGAAAGTGGTTAAACACTCACCAAAATTGATGGATTTTAAGATACAGGAAGCATAATGAGTCCTTAGAGGGTAAGTGAAAATTAACTATACCTATATATGTTATAGTTAGGGTGGCCACATAATTTATTATTCTAAACAGGATATTTTTGAGAATGAAAGAGATGCTATTAACAGTTATGCAAGGGAAGCAAGTGTCAACCAAGACTGCCCAGGGCAAAGGAGGATATATCATCCTGATGAAAGTACAACCACAGAGAAAACACAGATTGTTTAAAAAATAGGAGGAGAATATAGCTCAGTGGTAGAATGTGTATTTAGCATGCACAAGGTCCTGGGTTCAATCCCCAGTACCTCCATTAAAAATAAATAAACAAACAAACAAACCTAATTACCCCCCACCAAAAAAAGGAAAAACAAGTAGATTAGCAATAGACTTTTCAATAGACACCAGGAGACAATGGAAATGTATCTTCAAATTACTCAGAGAAAGAATTCAACCAGGAATTCTATACCCAGCTCTATGTTACAGGGGAAAAAACAGTTTGTTCAAACTAGCACTAAGAGGGTTTACCATTATATACCAATACTGAAAGAACAACTAAAGGGTGCACTTCAGGGAGAAGAAAATTAAAAAGAAATGAAAAGCAATAAACAAAGATGAGCAAATAAACTGATAAAGTTACACATGAATCTAAATAAACCATGACAACTTAATTAATGTTTGGGAAATGTAAAAAATACACTTCTAAATGGATCAAAGAAGAAATCAAAATGAAAAAGAAAACATTTAGAACTGAGAAAATTTTACATATCAAAGTTTGGGATGCAATTACAAGCAGCCCTTAGAGGTCATGGCCATAAAAACATATATTAGAAAGAAGAAAATGAAAAATTAATAGATTAAGCACTAAATTCAAAGTGTTATATAAAGTGCAACAGAGTAAATCCAAAGAAAATAAAAGGAATCATAACTAACGGACCAGGTATTAACAAAATGCAATACAAAGAAACAACAGAAGAGATAATCAGGTTTGGTTCTTTGAAAATACCAATAAATCAAAATATTAAAAGGCACAAATCAATAACATTAGAAAGAGGGACATAACTACAGATACAGTAGAGAATTTAAGAATAAGAGAATACCATGAATGAGATTAGGCCAATAAACTGAAAAAGTTGGATGAAATGGAAATTTCCCCAGGGGAAAAAAAAACTTATCAAAACTGACTGAATACAAAATAGAAAATCTGAACACACAAATAATCATTAAATAGATTGCATCTATGTTTTAAAAATCTACACATATACACAAACACACAAAACCTGGCTAGGTGATTTTACAAGTTAGTTCTACCCAACATTTAAGGAACAGGTAATCCAGCCTCATGCAAACCACTCCAAAGACCAGGAAAAGAAGGAAAGTTCTCCCAACTATCATATGAGGTAAATATAACCTTGATACCAAAAGAAAACAAGAAAAATCTAAGAAAGGAAAATTTCAGCACAATCTCACTGTTCAACATAAATGCAAAAATCTTAAAATGTTTGCCATTTGAGTATTATTATGTACAATAATAATAACCACAAAGAGAAACCAACTAGGTTTATTCCCGGGATAAAAGGATGATTTAACACTGGCAAAACTGTGTATATAATTCACAAGAATAGATCAAAGAGGGAAATTCTATGATTATTCAATAGACAGAAAAATCCTATGAAAAAATTCAACACCCATTTATGACATAATTTTTTTTAACTCTTAGCAAACTAAGAGTTGAAAGGAACTCTATAATTTAAAGTGTACCTACAAAAACTTTAGAATGAACATCAGGCTTCGTGGGCAAATAGTATAAGCATTCTTTTAAAGGTAGGATCAAGACGAGGCTGACCGTTACCTCCTCTTCTATTCACCATTATTCTGGAGGTCCTAGCCAATACACAAGGCAAGAAAAAAAATTAAAGCTGTGAAGATCTGAGAGGAAGAAGTGAAACCCTCTCTGCAGATTATAGGATTGTTCATATAGACAAGGCAAAAAGGAGCGACTGCCAAACCATAGGAACAAATAAAAGGGTTCAGAAAAGTGCTTGCTAAACCATCGGTGTACAAAAATCAACTGTGCTCCCACCATCAGCAACAAATGATTTAAAATGTAATTTTTTAAATTCCATTTACAATAACCAAAAAATGTTAAGATGCTTAAAATAAATCCAACAGAAAATGCACAAAGATCTTTAAAA